TCTGATCAGGATATTGAAAACATCAGGCGCCAAGATACTGCATTGGAACCAAATTTGAGCACCTTGTTATGTATCTGTTTTTTGTACTAATTTCTTATTCTATCATATGATTCTATGTTTCTGGAGCTTAATTAGCCAAACCACATGCACCAAGAGATCTATCAGGTGATGGGATAACAACAGTTTGCTTAGGAAAACAATCAAGGATCTCTAAAAGCCAAAGATTAAACGCATTGGAACACTTCAGTCAAGGTCTTCCCAGTCCAAAGGGAAACGCCCTTGGCAATTAAAAATACAAAAACAGTTCGTCAATTGACATAATTGTTAAATAAAATTTGGATTCAGTCAATTGTTGGAGGTCACTTAAGAGTTAAGGTGTTATTAAGAGCCAATGTATGTGGGATTTTAGAGACTTTATGCTTTTTGAATTTTTTTAAGAGCTTCTACTAGTTAAGAGTAGTATTTCTAGGTCTCGGAAATAAACATAGCAAGGTGTTGTTCAAGGTTTGGTGTGGTTTCATTGATATCTCCTTCTGTACTTCCTCTTTTTTTTTTTTTTCTCTTGCTTATTCTTCTCTCTGCCTATGAATTCTCAAACGTTAAAAAAAAAAAAAAAAACCCTCTTTTTCTCTATACTTCTGCTGATTACTAATACAAACTTTAAGCCTTTTAGCTTGCATGGGATGCAACTAAAATCAAACCATTTTCAGATGCACAAATTTTAGCAGACAAATTCGTTGGGCGACATGGGGATTCCTAGCAGGATTTTCGGACTACCAGAAATACTTAACTAATAGATGATTAGCTATCAATCTGTCCTTTCAATATAAAAGGCATGAAAATAAGATAGTAAGAAACAACCAAGAATGTGGTGAAATCTACTAGAAATAAGGACAAAATTATGCCACAAAAGGCATATAGATGTTAAACCAAGGATTTGAAGAAGGTTACATAAACCATAGTAATTACATTCATTGTATACCTCAGTTGCCAGGCAGAATTCAGGACATTTACTTTCCCCACACCTACCGCTACAAGGCATATAACCAGCACAGCATACATATCTATGACAAACAAAAGCGCAATTATCACTGTATTCAAAACACAGGGTCACATAGTTCAGATTAGGGTTCAAGCAAAATCAAAAGTACAAATCACCTTGACATGTCATTATAAAGTGCTCGTTTCCGGAGCAAGTATGAAGCACATGGTGCACTGAAGGGAAACAAAAGTCAATCAATATCACCACAATGGGAGGAAAACTCAATACCTGATGATCAAATAGTTAATTCATGCACGGGTAAAATTAAAAGTGCGGTTCGAAGTTAGCAACCCAAATAAAATGGACAATGTATAACTAAAAAGGCCCTGCAATATGCATCAAAGCTTACTTGAAATCTAAGCATCCCCTTTCAGTTCATATGATGGAATTCAATCTATTGGGGGTTGCTAATTACTCTACTCTTGTTCATAGCCTCTATCTGGTGCAAAAGAACTTGAGCCACACTATATGTTATAACGATTAACAAGTATTAAAGGAGGGAAAATTTATGATCAAGTTGCGCAATTTTCATCTTGACTGCCACCACTATCGTACACTCTGATGGTTTTGTTCTTAATTTCTCTTTCTTTTTGACAAGTAAACGAAATCTACCCGGAAACAAAAAATAAAAATAGTTAGTTAATGGTATTTCCTTCCATTGCATTGAGAAATCCAGAAAGGAAAAAAAAAAAAAAAAAAAAAATTCAAAGCAGCATCCATTGACACATTGAGTGCACAAAAAAATAGTTTGTTACCTAAAATCAAGTAGGGTTATTTTATCCACACCCCACATTTTGTTGACTACACTCACATAGTAATAAATCCTACATCTACTTTTTAAATTAAAATTTATCTCAGTAGATGTTGGGTTTTTTCAGCCCATGATAAGTTATATACCACTCAAAGAGTTAGAGTGAGAGAATATTGTGAGGGCAAACTGTGTGCTAGATAAAAAAGAGTGATAAGAGTGCATTTCTTGTTCTTGTTCTTTCAGGTTTTTCACAAGTCTTAATCCTAAAGGCTTGGCAAGATTATCCATTGTACTGATTATCGAAATAGTGAAAGATTGTTATTGTTGCTCTGTGGACCTAGGCACATATAGCCAAACCACGTTAATTTTAGCGTTGTTTATCTTGATTATTTTGTTTTCGATTTCCCGAGTTTGTTTTGTCTTTCCCATTCTTAAACTCGATATTCACAACAAGTGGTATCAGAGCCTGATCTGGCTGATATCCGTTTAGAATGGAAGGTGTGACTAGCACTATGATGAAACTCACCCGCTCCAACTGAGTTACATGGAAATCAAGAATAGAGGACATGCTTTATTGTAAAGGTCTCCATGAGGCAATTGAAGGTGTTAAGAGCAAGCTAGCAAGATGTTTGATGCCGATTGGAACAAGATGCAGAAGAGCGATAGTTTCTCACAAAGAAGTCTATAATTGCTTTTGCAATGAGATGAGAGTTCTGATCATGAGAGGCTGGTCAAGGGAAATCTAATATGGAGGAGCTTGGTCAAATAGGAGTTCGATTAGGGAGTCTGATCATGGGTAGTTCAATTAGGGGGAGCCTGGTTACGAGAAGTTCAAATTGGAGTTTGATCAAGATCTTTGCCAATGAAGATGAGAGTTCTGGTCAGCGGGAGTCTGGTCAAGAGAATTCTAGTCCCGAGGAACATAGATTATATTCAAAACCCACTAAATGGGTATATCATAGTCAACATTAATATTTGTTACCTTAAAATCGAAATTTCAAAAATAGATTATACAATATGAAACACAATGATTAAATGGGTACTGGATTGAATCGAAAATGAACCCAAATTGAAATGATATCAAGAGAACAATATTCTAACAAAAGAGAGGGTTAATATTTCATATAAGGTTTCAAAGAGCTTGTTTTTGTATGTGTTTTCCTCATGCACCGATTCTCGACTCGTAAAGCTTCTAGTTCTTCTTTGGGTTTGGAGGTGATGGCACGATGACGGTGGTGGTGACCATTAATTGGCAGAGGCTATGCTTACATGATCTTCTATTGATTTTGGAGACAAAGTAAATTCTAGTTAATTTAATAGATTTTAACTGGGGCTTATCATATGTTACATTTTCAATAGATCGCGTACTTGTTTGGCATGATCAAAAGGGTTGAAACTACTTTGGAATGACACTAAAGGATTTGGGGGTTTTAAATACTTAATCCTAAAAACAATCAATCAAGTATTCAGTTTCTAATTTTAATCCAGAGAAATAAATGGGCTAGGGAAACAAAATTGGTAAACTATATGACATAGTTGTTGATGATTGGATTTTTACTTAAATATTAATTAACGTGCTTATTTTCTATTGATAACATATCAATTGATCTGCAAATTTGGCCTGAAAAGATTGTCTACCTAGCATTCATCGAGATTTAAATTATAGAAATGAAGTCAACGAGTGTCAGACCAAGTCAACGAGGAAAACATGAACAGAAATTGCAAAATCGGCAGGGAAATCAGATCTACTAACAAGCAAAGCAATCAGATCGACGGAGAGAACTCACCAGAACGCCGCAAAGCAGCAATCTGCAACGACAAACATTCACAGTCCCATATCAGACACTAAACCGGTCGAATTTATAGAGAGAGAAAGAAAGAGAGAGAGGGAGAGAGAGTAATACAGCGAGTGTCGGCCTGAATGGTGCCCATGAGGTCGGAGTGCCAGAGATTCCGGTAGTTCTGTCGGACCTGCATCTTGTCCATGTACTCCTGCGACGGCATGGCTGCTGCTGCTGCTCTTCCGTACAGACCTGACTCAGAGAATCGGCGAGGAAGAAGAAGAGGAGGGAGTGGCAGATAAACGGAGGGATCTGGGAAAAAGCAAGGAGCCAATGAAAGGATTGGAAAAATTAGAGAATATGAAGTCTTTGGGGCAGACTTTTATTCCGTTTTAAGAAATGAATGGGACGAGGACAAAGTAAAAGTAGCAATAGAGATTGTATCATTCATACTTAAATTCTAACTCAATTTAAGTAATAGTTCATCATAAAAAATTACAGATATGAGACGAATGATCATTGCTATAATTGAATTAAATTGAGGGATTATTCTTTTAATTGGATAAAGTTGAGTGATCATTTCTCCAATAGATTAAAGTTGAGAGATCATTTCTTTAATTGGGTTAAAGTTAGGGAGTCATTGCTACACTTTTTTCATTTGATTTTTAATATCTTAATTCAGTCTCATGCGTAACTTATTTTGACATAAGTTTTAACGGATTTGACGAAAATAATCATAATTGCACGTTTTAATGAGTTAAGGAACCAATGATCGTGGATTTTGAGTTGAAAAATCATTGCTTAAATTGAATTAAAGTTAAAAGATCATTACTACGGTTTTCTCTAAAATAATATTTTGTTAATTAGTAAAATAATAATTAAATGGATAACCGCGTGATAGTTAATTACGAGGAAATTTCCCATTTTGAAATTCGATGAATCCGGTGAGCGCGGAATACCATGTGTCAAGTGTCAACGCCTTCTCTTACGAATCCGGCCGGTTGAAATAATATTTGAATGTATGGTCCATTACTTGACAGTTGGGCTTTGTATCCTTCGTTAAGTCTCTTTATATGACAAAGTCCATATTTCCTCCTTCATCATCATTACTTTTCTCATGCTTAAACCTGCGGATTCATATCCAACAACACATTAAAGATGCGTTTATTGTACCGGATTATTTCGAACTGAACTAGCTTCAATGACTAAGTTGGACTGGCTTAGACTAGACTAAACTGGACTAATTTAGTGAAGCGTTTGATGCAGTGTCGGACTAAGAAGCAAAATAATGAAAACAGTACTATCACTAGTTTGGTGTTTGCTCGGACTGAGACTAAATTATTATTCTAATTTAATTTCTTTTCATTTAAAGATATTATCAAAATTAATAATATTAGATGAGAGTATGACTCAATAAAAAAATATATAAAAACCAAATTTCTTACCAACAAAAGAAACATACATGATTCTAGTATTGCTCCAAACATCAATATAGCAAAGGTGTTTTCCTAACAATTGACAGGGTTTAGAATGCTTTTCTTAATTATTCACTTTTGATTTGATTGCATTCAATTTCAAGACTACAATGATGTGTGAGGTGCAATGGCAAATGGACAGCCGAGCCTTGATCATTGCTACATTTGGATTCGAGCACGTATACGATAGTACTCCTGCACTGTAGATCCTCTGAATCAACTATTTACGTAAACATACTGTTACAAATAATCAAAATCGATTGAATCAATACTACGCCTTTTGTTGCTCTAGCAAGCAAGTTGGTGCTTGCACATATAACAACTTGTTGCATCAAAACTGCCATTTATGACTCTGCTACAATGGCTGAATCTGATCTCACCGAAGCATCTGTTGGAGCTTTATTACTTCTTGTTGTTGTTCCAGAGACAATGAACTCAGGTTTTTCATGTGTTATGTTCAAAATTTCTTGTAGTAAAGCAGACTCCACCCCAGGTGGAAGCTCAAACTAAGAAAGATTAACCATGATGTCAGATACTCAGATCAAAAGACTGCATGTTGTAAGCATTGGGTAGTAAACAGAACAAAAATTGGTTAAAAATGGATAAAATGCAAATAATCTACAACTACCTCAACCTTGTCTCAACACTACTGCAGACTGTAGTTGGTGGATATGGTTCACACACCATAGCTTAAGTATATTAATTGGAGAACAAATTTGGCAACATCTCAAATACAGTGCTCTTAGAAATCAAGTGAAACTTTTATATCCATAACAAATTGATACAGATGCACATTTGTTTATTTCAGAAATCTCAAAAATGTTTCTGTACCATAGCATCTAGAACATGATTATATGCAAAAACCTGAAAACTCAGCACATTCAAATAAATGGAATCAAGCAATGCATGAACACAACCAAATATGAAAAGCCAGAGAGAGAGGAATCCTCAGTCCGAGGAGGTCCATAGTTTACCCTCAATGCCCTGCCATCAAGTTCCTGCCAAATGCAATGAAGTCTTACTTATATACAATGTTCTAAAAAACGGCCTAGGCAACCGCCTAGGCGCTAGGCGGTGGTGACCCAAGGCGTTTTCTTGTAAATTGATTGGAAAAATCGGTTGGGGTCTAGGTGGCCACCTAGGCAGGTGAGGCGGGCTAGGCGATGCTAGGCAGCTAGGAGGTTTTTTTTTTTTTTTTGAAATTTAAAAAAAAAATCCTACCTACATTACTATATTTCCTTATTTTCCTCCTATTTTGCATTTTGTGTGGTTTAAAATTGGGAACTTATTATACATATGTCATCCTACAATACTCCTCACTATGGTTCTATGACATATATGCTTATTGTGTTTTTAAATTTTGGACTTGTTGGATGCTCTTTTTGCATTTTATTATTCTTTTATTATCTTATCCATGGATTTTGTAAAAGTTTAATTTTTTTATAAGTGTCAATATGCACTTATTTACAAGATATACAAGAAATTTACCTAAATTCGCCTAGACTCCGCCTAGTCGCCTAGGCGCTAGGTGCCAGCCCGCCGCCCGACTAGCGCCTAGCGTTTTTTAGAACCTTGCTGATATACAATATAATCCTTTCTTAGATACGATATACAGGGTTCTCATGAATGCAATACAACCACATGATGGTAAGACTTAGCAAAATAAATACGGAACTCAACCAATCACTACATTAAAAAACCAACATCAAGAAATGCAACACAAAGCTACAAAACAAAACAACCTTTTCAGAATGAAATAAACATCGACCAAGTTTCAAACGTCAATCAATAAAATTGTTTTCACGATAATGCCATAAAACTCTTGCTAACATAGTTATATACAACAAACAGGGTTGTCAACTTGACCTGTAACCAATGACTTCAACTCGGAACAATCAACACGGTAAATCGTAGTAGGTGATCGCAATCGTAACAAAAATAGCACTACGAAAGGCCAGAGACTAAGCTCCATCAAACATTTCTTCAGTAAGACAAATTTCAAGCAAGTTTCAACAAATGAATGTTAATAAATACAATTATAAATAAAGTACCAATTCGCAAAATTCCACAAACTTTTGCATATATAAGAAAATATCAGCAAATGGTCAGACTTAAATATGAAGACTCACATAGCCGTTTAGCTGGTGAGTAGCAGATTCAGCTAACACTTGACATAGTCACAAACCCAAATCCTCTACTTCTTCCGGTCGTCTTATCATATATCACCTGCAAAAAACCCTCAAATTTAACCCATAAAACACTAAACCAGCAACAACCAATTTCACTTTTCACCCAAATTTCAAGTAAAATTTACAAAATTTTGAGTGAAAACAAGGAATTACCTCGACCATTTGGACATTTCCAGTGCTCTCAAAGATACCAGTGAGCTGAGCGCTATCAATGCTGAAGGGAAGGTTACCCATGAAGAGTTTGAGGTTAGGGGAGGCCTTTCCATTATTGCTGAGAACCTCTCGTCCTGCTCAAACTCAGATGAAACAGCAAAGTCGTGAAGGAGATGGGAGATGGCGAAGGTGTGAAGGAGAAGAAGACGGATGGATCAGCTACGAGAGAGGGACTAAGAGTCCGCTCGAAATTGAGGGCTCTTGCTAAGAATGGCTAGCGAGGCATTCAGTCAGGGCGTGTCCCCTTTAGTCTCATTAACTCTTGTCTGTGTAAATAACAAACACCATATTGTACTATCATTTAGTTTTGTCCAGTCCAAAGAATGCTAGTGAAGGCAAACAAACATACCCTAAATGTTGTTTTGGGGTTTATTATTTGAGGCAAGTTTTACTTTCTCGAAAAAAAAAAATTGCTAAGTTTGGTAAAGTTGTAGAGTGGGAAAGTTTAGATTAAACTCATGTATTCTTTTACCACATGTGTCGAAATGTGTTGATTCTTTGCATAACGACATGAGTTCAAATCACGTTGGTGATAATTTAGCATCTAATTTAACAAAATCTACCGTTTGCCAAAAAATATATATATAAATATATACAAAAGTTAGATTAAACATCTTTGACTTCTTCTATCGCTAGCTATTAAATGAGTTTTGGTTTGAATTTAGGATGGGTTTTGACTAAATTTTTTTGTGAATTTTTTTTATCAAACAGTAGATTTGTCATATTAAATGTTAGATTAGAGAGTTGATGGAATTTAAAATCATGCTGTAGTGCATAACACTCCTCACCACTTTAGTAGAGGGCACTTGCAAATTTGTTGTGGAATTTGATTTACTTCTAAAGGTTGGTGCCCCCAAGAAGCCCAAAACCTTTATTACCTTAATCTTCTACATGGGCTTTGTGAATACTTGAATTGGTTGAGTAGTTTCGCACAACGAGCTATTGCATTGCACTGCTTGGGAAATTTTGCAACAACTGAAAGCTTGTAGCACATTGACTTGAAACTTGTTATGCAACGGTTGGTTGAATTTTGATACTTTTAAAATCTTATGAAATGCAAACTACAAAATGAGGCTTTAACCTTCATTGTCGTCATTGATATCACGGTATTGAGTGTCTTTGTATTTTCATAATTGGCAGAAAACTTGATCGTGTAATTGTTTCTTAACTGCCTTTAGTAACTCTTTTGAAATAATGAACATGTTTTCATTCTTGTAGAAACACATATGAAGGGTGATTGGTTCTACTTGTAACTCACACTGTTCTCAAGTCGAGTAGATTTTATCTAGCTCAACTACTCACCTCAAATATCTAGAATATCTCTAGTATCAAGTGCAAAAACTCAAGAAAAATGTTTTTTTTTTTTAACAAACGATATTGTTTACACTAAGGGAGAGGAGGTGGATTAGCCTTATAATGGACTCGCAATAATGTGGTTCAACTTCGCATTTGGTAAGAATCGAACTGAAGACCTCTCACTTATAAGTGAAAAGAATATCACTAAACCGTAGTATTAAGTGGCAAAAAAAATATTATTAGAGTACCACTCTTATGTTGTTAATCATTAAAACCTTTTTATGCTTAAATTGAAATCTTTCAAATTTTGGGTAGTGTTTAGGAGCTAGAAAGTTATACGCATTTGTATTGGTTTGTCTCTTACCTTCATATAAATTTTTTTTGGTTAACTTTTATTGTCATTATACTGAACGTTTTCCTAATAATTTCCTAATTAGCAGAGCTGACTTTATGCTTTAACCGCTTCTTGATGGCCTTGGAGAACACACACAATCATGAGCATGTTGTCATTCTTAAGACGATTCACTGGCGATCGTATCGGGGAGCTAACGTTCTCTCAACTGGTCGAGTGAATCGTATGCTAAATGGACGACACAACATGAAGGGCATAAATTGGTTATACCATCCCTAATTTTTTTTTATCTTTAAATATTTTCATGTGGATATACCTATTTTAACCCAGCCACAGTCCACAACTTTATCCTAACATCCCACTTCCATTAGTGTACATTAGTATAGAATATCCTAACCACCCAAGTTACTTTGTTATCCTGGTTGCGCCCTTGATTATATATACAAAAATACTCTACGTCCTCACATGCCCTGATATGTGGCGAAACTCAAGTACAACATGTAAACAATACGTCAGGTGAAGTGGAGCACACTTAATCATTGAGCTTATATATATTGAAGGAAAGTTGCGGTTCTATACTAAAATTAATTATTGTTGGGGCCCAAAAATGTCACACACCTAGTCCAACCAAGTCTTAACGCCCAATTGTTATGCAAAGCCTACATTCAAGCCCAAACACATGCCAAAGCACGGGATCGACGAGGAATATATTTACCAACATGTCATGCCACGGTGATTAAGATGGATGTTCACGCCATGCTCATGCCTATTCATCATGCCATGCTTCCTTAGTCACTATTCATGCTAAGCCCAAGTCACATATTTGAGGCTTGTCAAGTGGATTGTGGTGTGGGTGATTACAGAAAGTTATCGGGCTTACGTAGAATTGTGGTCATGGAAGACTTTGGGTTGCTTGGGCTCCAAAGATCCAAGCCCAAACCATTTGCATTTCATGCAGGCATCATTGGGAGAGAATTAATCTAGTTTTCCCTTTTCCGTAATAAGGCAACTCCTTCAGTTAGGAACTAAATAGATTCTTCCATTAAATACATGTTAAGCCCAGCAAGTCACGCATTTAATGCTGACTTTCCCTTCCAAGCCTGCACAGACAACCAACGCACGAAAGTCATGAGGCGCGCTACCTAAATTAGCACAGATAACTCTTTTCAATTATTCCTGGGATGGGAGGGAGTAGGTATTGCTTTATATTTGTTAATTCATCTCTGGTTTACACGTCTTCCGGCAGATAAAGCAGCTTGCAAGTCTTAACAGTTCATCTATCTTACACCAAAATGGGAATAATAGGATGGCTAGGGAGAAAGGAGGGGAAAACCAATTCATAATGGGAGATTCTCTTGAAGCCTAAAGAAGAACCCTTCACGTACAAAAAAGGGAGAAAATCCATTAGAATAGAGGATTAAAGTAACAAAGAGAGATAAGACAAATGAGAACCACTTAGGAAATAAGCCTACATAGTTCCAGTTAGCCCAAAAGCATAATCCAAGCCTCAAGCATCACCATTTATGCAACCTTAGCAATTCCCACAGCCTTCCATCAAAATCTCAACCATTAGAAGCCTTGCTATCACCCTAAGAAATCCCAAATCATGCAGTTAAGAATGTTATGCAACCATGCAAACCCTTTCTCTTTCATGTAAACTGATAATCTTCTAGCTTCCACACCATGCTTCACTTGAGCAAGTCATTATCTTGATCATTCATGTTGTCTTCAAGCTGTTGATGTTACCAGGGTATTTCTTAAGACAAGCTCACTCTTTCGAGATATCCTAGGACTTGTTACGAATCCATACCAAGGGAGACAAGAGGATGTTCTCAAAGCCTAAGACCACCTCAACCTAAAAGTCCCCCAACGTAACTTGGCGACTCTGTTGGGGACATGTCACAATCTTAATTCAATGGCTCCAAGATCCATAAGGAACACTACCATGAGTGGCAATGCCTCAAATGTAGGCGAGGTTGCTTCATGGCTCGACGAGTTTCAACGCAAAGGCCAACGCTAGGAAAGCTAGGAAAACTTGGACGAATATGACATGTCGGACATCATCATAGCCATTCATGCCTTGGGTGAAGGCCAAAAAGAAAGTGCTGCATCTGTGAAAGAGTTGAAAAACTCAATCCTGAAACCAAGTGAGAAATCCAGTGATAAGGACTACAGACCTAGGGAAAAGGTTTCTCAAGAGGAGTTAGCCGTTCCAATTGGCAAGGGTCCTAAGAAAACACCATCCTTTGTCACTGAGGAAGATGTCATAGCCATGCTCGAAAATGAGTTACATATGAGTTCAAAGGACTAGAATTATGTTCTTTAGACACCATATCCAACCAGCGTTCTCCACATGCCATATCCTAAAGGATATGAGACTCTCAACCTTTTTATTTTTTACGGGATGAAGGGTAGCCCTAAGGAACATATAAATCATTTCATGAACATATAAGCCGTATCATTGACGCTTTGGGTCTTAATGTCGGCGATTGTAACCTCTGTCTCATGGAGTTCTCAAAAAGTCTAACTGATTGTGCCTATACTTGGTACACCACCCTTGCACCAGGTTCCATTCGGACCTGGGAAATGTTGGTAGGCAACTTCTGTAAAAAATGTTTCCAGCATTAGGAAAGTGTCACGACGACTCAACTACACAACACACAACAAAAGCACGAGAAAGCTCTGATGACTTTTGTTATAAGTTTCTAAGATCTTCCTTTGATTGCTATGATAAAATGGATGAAGAAACCCTCGTAGAGATCTGTATCAGTAACATTATCGCTGACTATAGGGTGTACTTAGAGAACATCGGAATTAGCCAGTTCTCGAGGTTTTTAGAAGTAATAAGACATACCAACTTGTCAGTAGAGCCTTCCACGGGGAAATCTTGGAAGGCTGACAAGAAGAAAGCTTATCATGCCTAGCCGTGGATGACATATCTCACTATAACCCACAGAAATTGAAGGAAAAATGAAAGAACCAACTGGCATACCCAAATCTACCACATCGCTAAACATATCCCGCTAACATAGTAGCCTGTGCTATGTGATTTCCAATGAGGAAGTATGCTTCATGCCATAAAGTAGGGTCCCAAGCTCCTAAAAAATCATTCTGCACGTGAAAGGAGATAAACCTATGAAGCTCACATTGCATCGCCGACACGATTGAATAACCTGCCTAGTGCCTCAGCTAGCCTCGAGTGGACCTTTACTTCCCTAAAGTTAACCTGGGAAGAGAAAGCTTCACCTAAAGGGATCAATTCCTTAATCGAATTTAATACTTTAGCTTCATTGGTGATACTATGCTTGAGCTTCCTGAGAGCCTCATGCCACGATGCTCACTCTTCAATCAATGCCTACTCATCAAGGGAAAGAATCTCCTCAAGAAAAGCTGTAGGCTCGAGAAAAATGTCATTGGGGGCTTGAATAACTCATATAGCCTCTGCAGCACCATCATTCACCTACAAGGAAAGCATGAAAGTATGCACAAGTGAAGGGACAAATCGACAAGTGGAGACACAAAACAACACAGCCTACAGAAGTTATCCAATACGGAATTCCAACAGACCAACATGCTTATAGATGCACATGCAAA